TTTCTTTCTTTCTTTCTTTCTTTCTTTCTTTCTTTCTTTCTTTCTTTCTTTCTTTCTTTCTTTCTTTCTTTCTTTCTTTCTTTCTTTCTTTCACTGCACACCTGTCTTCACTCAGTGATCATCAGTTTTATCAGTTCTATTGTCATGTGAGTTGTTTATTAGAGGGGCAAGTAAAAACTTTTTTTGACTTTTAATTTTTCACATTTTTAAAAGCATTTGAATACTTGAAATTCCCTACAGGCCAGGAAACAGGACAGAACAGAAAATTCTTCATAAATAGGAGATAAGAGACTCAGGTGGTTTCATCACCACAAAAACACTCCCACAACACAGCCTGTGTATAAGAAGGGAATTTCAGGTGAAACGTTGTATTTGTGCTGACTCTGTTCAGGCGAACTCTGTACTGTGCTTGGTTGTAAAGGTAAGTTTTTAGGTACATTTATTTCAATAAGTTGGCTTGGATGTTAGCTTAATAGTGTGATAAAATGCTTTAATTTTATCAGTTGTACCTTTTGACTGATTGCAACATGGAATAAAAATGGTTTTACTTTTAGATTAGTTCTGCTACACTTAAAAATAATTGATAAGTTAAAGCACTGAATACATGTGGTTTTGTTGATCAGTGCTGATATATTTTTCCTTTCGTGATCAGGATTATTCTCACTTCAAAATGAAACCGGTGAATTATGAAGTCACTATGTTCACTGCCAATCGGGTCAGTGCCACCACTTTAAACGACATCTTCATTAAGCTGGTGGGCACCGATGGGGAGAGTGAGCGCAAGCATCTTGTGAGCCTGAGGGGGGCTTCTGCCTTCATCAGAGGAGCTGTAAGTCTCCATGTTCAGATATATTTGTTTCTACAGCTTGCTAACAGCTAAAACATTTCAGATATTTGATCTATAACAGGATGTAAGCAGCTATTTCTCCAACAATTAACTTCAAAAATTAAAATAATGACTCTCATGCACTATTCCCCACCCCCCTCTTCTGGAAATGTGTTAAATATTATCAAATCAAGCTTTCTAAATAAAACTGTTGGCTTGTGTTAAATACTTTTCAGGTGGCAGGTTTTACTGTGTCCTGTCCCACCTCCATTGGAAAACTGGTGCTGATTGAGATCGACAAACAGCCTCTCCTGTTCTTCCCAGAGGACTCTTGGTTTCCCTCCAAGGTGGAGGTCAAATCCCCTGAAGGACACACCTTTACCTTTCCTGTCTACCGCTGGATCACTGGCAGCATGGTGCAAAACTTCAGGGAGGGAAAAGGTGTGCAAACCTGTGCTTGGACATCCTGGGGAACCAAATCCAGCACATAACTCTGCCTTTTTTTTTCACAGCTCTGAAAGTCTTTGAAGACAACAATCCTCTTTGCCAGTACAGTCGAGAGCAGGAGCTAAAGCAGCGTCAGGTGGATTATCGGTGAGAGCTTAGTGTTGTGTATTTTATTGTTCCACAAGGTTCTAAAATAACACTGATCATGAATCCATGTTTTCACACAGCTGGCATGTGTACGCAGAAGGAATCCCACACTGCATGAAGGCAGATGACCCTCAGGCTCTGCCGTGTGAGGTCCGCTTCTCCTTCACCAAACAGACCGAGTTTCTCTTCACTTCTTCCACAGGGTTAGGTCCTCCGTATTCTGCCACATTTTTGTCTTATGAGCTCTCAAATTATTCAATCTCACAATTTGTTTGACAAACACACTTGTAGACTGACAGAGCTGAAACTGAAGGGGCTGGATGTCCGTAAAGAGAAGTGGACTGACCTCGACCACATTAAGCGGGTGTTTTTCTGCAAGGTGACTGAGGTATCAGGTACTGTAAAACCTTGATATACTGTGTACATTAATTGGTTCAAAAATTATATTTATTCATGAACATAGAATCCACTGAATTCATGATATAAACCCTGAAATACTTTTACCTTGGACACTACTTCATGTTCCACAGAGTACGTCCAACGACACTGGAGGGAAGATTCATTCTTTTCTTACCAGTTTCTAAATGGCATCAATCCCATGATGATCAGACGCTGTAAAGCCCTGCCCAGTAACTTCCCTGTTACTAATGACATGGTCCAGATCCATGGTCAGAGTAGCCTGACTGATGAAATGGAGGTAATTTGTCTCACTATGAAACAAAGTTAACTGAAGTTTTTTTTTATTTAACCAAAGTAAATGTATTGTACAAAGCCTCCAGGTTTACGTGGGTGTGATTTATTTATTTTTTCCTGAACAGAGAGGCAACATTTACCTGTGTGACTACAAACAAGTGGATGGTGTGAAAACAAACACCATCAATGGGAAGAAGCAGTACCTGATGGCTCCACTGGTCCTCCTCCAGAAAACTCCAGATGATAAATTGATGCCGATTGCTATTCAGGTGTGTTCAGAGATGGCTAACAAGGATCTTATTGATTTTTAGGTGTGTGTGTTTTTATTAAGGGTGAATTTAGTTTCAAAGCTTCAGTTCAAATTCATCACTGGGGGATAAAGTATCGAATCAGAACAATTTGAGAGATTTGTCTTGCATCCTTTGTGAGGTGTCTGGAGGGGGGCGGAGGAGATGAGCAATTCATGGATTGCATGAGTTTTGCTATAAACTAAAGATTTCTCTCGGGACTAACATTTTTGAGGTAGTGAATTGGTCTAACCCTATTGTTTTCATGCTGTAGCTGAAGCAGAAACCAGCAGAAGACAACCCGATCTTCCTTCCCACTGATTCAGAGTACGACTGGCTGCTGGCAAAGATTTTTGTGAGGAGTGTAGATGCAAACGTGCATCAGCTGAACTATCACCTGCTGCGCACTCACCTGCTGGCTGAGGTTTTTGCTGTGTCACTGCTGCGCAACATGCCCATGGTGCATCCTCTGTACAAGGTAAATGGAGCTGGGGAGTGTGTGTGTGTG